ATTTTAATTTTTATTTTGCTCACAAAGCTTTCTCTATGAGGAAGCAAAAATTGAAAAATCCGCATGCTTAAAGCAGCTTAAGCATTGTAAGATAAAATGATGAGGAAGCAATGTGCAAGTTTTTAATTTGCACAACTCTACTTGTGTTAAGGTGGACGTTTACCATTTATCGCATCCTGTCTGTTTCCTTGATCTGTATATTAAAAGAGACATTAGTAATGAATCAAATTAAGTTAATTGAGTTATCGACACGATTATTTTACGTTGAAATTCCAGAATGTAATGGCTAACAAATTATTTAATAGTCATTTAATTATTGTAATGTTAATTACACAGATTTTTTGAAAACCGAAAAGTATAATAAATAAAATTATCTTGTCTCTCTTTCTGTTACGCCCTAATTTTATGATATTTCTTGTATTGAAAATGATCAAAAAATTATTTTTTCCTAGGTATGATTTACTTCGCAAAAAGATCTTCTCATTAAAATATCGATAAGCTTAAAAGGGATTCTCTATACTGTTTTAGAATAAAAATAATTTTCTTGAATCTGTTTTCTGACAGATTTTATTAATTTATATTAGAATTTCATCGCGATCATCATGGTGCATCTGACCACGAAAAATCTCGGTTTAGTGATTTCTGCGATTAAAAATCTTTGTGAGCTCAAGGGATCCACGTCGCAAGAAATTCTTCACTATGTATCATCCGCTTACAACATCCCGTCTGCTACGGCACGACGTCAGGTTGACATTAACAATATTTTTCATTCTTTCAATATGTAATCGTTAAACAAAACAATGTAGTGTATCATATTCAATGAGATTAAAGAAATAGTTATACATATATTCACAAAAATACTTGGACTATTGCAGATGCAAAGCGTTTTAAAACGCGGCGTCACGTGCGGTATCTTGAAGAAAAACGGGAATCGCTATAGTCTACCGATTGATAATAAGACCGCGCAGCAGGAGATAGCTATTCAGGAGATCGGTCTGCTGAACTTGTACTGTCAGCGGAGAGTTCAACGATCGAGAGATCGCAGGACGCGAATTCGGAGGGGCGCCTGTAGATGTGGGAGGAGAAGCGCACGACAAAGGTCACGAGGATGCGGGCCAAGGTCTTGCAGGAGGAGACGGCGGAGGAGAAGATGCACGTGCCGAGGTTTCGGTAAATGTGCCCGCAACAGGAAGACCAAGTCTAGGACGGAATATAATTTGGACGATGATAAATTGACCATATCAGATCAGAGTCCGATTGAGACCACCGTAGCTGGCGGCATTGAGCAAAGTTATTCAAACATGCTGCACGTGCAATAACGAAATTGTGAGAAGTTATTGTATTATGTGAATGTTATAAAAATATTGCGTCTTTCGATATTTCCAAATTTTATTGTATAAAATTTTAATTTTTTACATTAATATTAAAATTAAAAATTAATATTTAATTTTTGAGCAACCAAATACTGATTTTGGAAAATAAATGTTGCTTTGATTTTTATCTTTAGTTGTTTCTGTAAGAGTTTCTCATATTTAGTATGTATATTAAAAAATTTTGTACGTAACAAATATATTATTTTTGTAACTATATACGTTTTTTTGCCGCATTATTTTTATTACATAAAATATGTCAAGATAAAAACAAAATTAAACTTTAGATTTAAATTAAAATTAAAATTATTGTTTTGCATTATAAATTCATTGCGTTAAAAGTATATGTATTAAAATTTAAATCTGTCATCGAATTATTCAGATCGTTGCAAATGCTGCGTCATGTAATTGCTAATGATTATTAAATGGGAATTACATTCTTTTTATACACATCAAAGTAGAAAAGTCGTCGATACTTTTAATAAAAAAGTTTCTATGAATGCGTGTCGCAAATGAGCTATAAATCATGTTTTAACCAATAAGTTGAAGATAAAATTATGAAAAATATCTTTTATATTACGATTTAATGTATTAACAGATAAAATAATTTACATATTATTTTATACTTATTTTTTCATTACTACTTACTATATTTACATAATTTTATTTAAATTTTATAAATTCTCGATTTACGCAATATCATATATATCTGCAAACATTTTTTTTTCTCAATTGCTGATATTATCATATTGTGTAGTATTATTCTCTTTCTGGGACACTTTGTATATATATTCCAAGGGATATCATATGAATATACAAGACTGTGTTTTGCATACTAATGTAAACTTATTAACAAAAAAGTAAAGTAAAAATGTAAAGTCGCCATACTTCAATACATTTTTTATTGGTGATTGAGGCAGGATTACGCGTAATTGAAATTAATACGGAAAATGCGAGATATATCTCTCCGTTTGTGTGTAATAAAATCATAAATATTCTTGATCTATCACAGACATTGTAATAAATCACACAAACATACTCTTTTATAAAGTTACATCAATCTTATTTTTAATTGGAACAAATTGACAGAAGGATATCAAAAATTTATATCTTTAAAAGTGCAAGAAAAAAAAATTTTTACATATTTTATTCGCAGCAAATGGTATTAATTATATATCAAAAACAATCGTTTAAGATATATCCTAGCGCGTCAAATCAATTAATCTTTCTGAAAAACAATAAGACTAACAAGCGCATGTAATATCTTATTCTTTAAACGAGTCACAACTCCAAGCAAAAACTTGTTTACTTCAAGTTTGTGTGATCTTTGATATTTGATAATTATTCTGTTCTCTTTGTGGAATATAAATGGCGACTAAATCGCCATTAATTTTATATAACTTCATTTTTGCCCATTCAGATCGCAAAAAGTATAAATTTTAAAGCCATCAAGAGAGTTTTTTTCACAAATTTATTCAACACTTAAAAGACACTGTTGGAGACATCTGGTTTTACACTTTGATTTACCGATAAATGTTTTTTTTCTAATTTTAGTCAACCATCTTGATGATATTTATGATACATATTTTAAAATTCCAGTGGACTATTTGTTCGAGGCAGCAGTATAATTTTTTATTGTAAATTACTGTCGAATAAAAAGTTGATATTCAAGAAAAAACATTGCTATGATTGAGCATGTGTTTCCAAGAGCGCTCTTAAATGAGTTTTAAAATATTATGCTAATGACGTAATTATTATCGATTTAAAGTATGAACTATTTTTTTACTTTACGTGTAATTTGAGATGATAAAGTATAATTTGATTACATAGCGTATTTTTATGAATCTCAAGGGTAAAAGATCGAATCGTATATTATATGCATTTTATCAACGATTTCAAAACGTGCGATAATCGATTCTGGATTTGTTGCAGAGTAATGAAGAATAATGATATATTTCCCACATTTTAAAAAATATAAAATAAAAGTCTATGGAAAAATATGTAATATAAAAATTGACTACGTTTTCACAGCAATTTTTTTCTGTTAGATTTTTAAGGTAAAAGTTTATGCCGCGTTCCAATATAATTCATTTTACATATTTTTTTTTAGAAAAAGTGGAAATATATATTTGTATAATGAAATATGTTTAAAAATTTGTGTAAAATGTGTAGCACTATAAAATTTGTACATGTGACATATACATATAACACAATAAGAATGCAATTGATAAAATTAAACGTCTAATTGTATATGCGAAAAAAATATACTTAAATAATCCATATCACATAGAGTTAGAATCTGTCTTATAGAGCCGAGATAAGTAAAGTGCGTCTTACCTGTGGAGTGGCGAGCACAAAAGACAGCACCCAAGCGAATAGAACGAATCGCGAACACTTCTGAGATGTATTGAGACCCTTCATCGGATATCGCACCGCGACAAATCGATCGACACCGATCAGTACGAGCACAAAGGTGCTCAAGTACAGGCTGAACATCTGTAGGAACTTGAAGATCTTGCATGCAGCATTGCCCCACAACCATGCGACGTTATAACTCCAGATTGCTTCGCCGGCCAGGCAGAAGACGGTGACCAACAGGTCGGCCACTGATAGATGAAGGATGAGAGTGTAGATCGCCGAGCAGCCTCGCTGCTTTCGACGATTCTTTGCGATTGAATATATTGTCGCCGCATTGCAGACCAGGCTTAGAACCGACATGACCGTCAACACAATAACCTGGAGGTATACCGCTCTGGTCAGTCTAGGCGCGTGTTTCAGACACGTAACATTCTCGGCCGATTGTCCGACGAGAGTCTCGTGGCCGACGAAGTCGGTGAGGTTGTCGCAGGGAATAGGGAAAACGGCGGAGAGACCGGTAACGTTCGCTGATGAACCGTTGCTGCTGTTGATGATCGTCGACAGCTTCATCGTTCCCGGCATCGGCCGCACCTCGTTCCCTTGCACGAGGTTGTCGGAGCATTGGAGGCACGATGTCGACGGCCGAATGCGTGCCTCCATTTCTTCGACGAAATCACACGGTTACCTTAAAAGATGAGATGCATATTCCGCAAGCAACATCTAGAGTGGGAAGGATGATCTCAGGAATCTCGTTGAGTCTTTGTCTTCTTTTGGACACTGTCAAACCCGTTTCTACGATTCTCTTTCGAAGCGCAATCGCGTTTACTTTACATTCGGTTAGGCGATGTGGGGGAATGAAGCAAGTTCAGTGCGCGAGGGATATCATGTGCGTCAGAATTATATAGATTCGACCAGAGGGCATCGTGGAGATGTTCGAAGGACATTCTTATCTGTCAGAAGAAACGTATAACAAACGCTGTGTATAATATATATATATATATAATAATAATAATAATAATACATATACATATAGCAAATGTCGCATTAATTCGAACGTATTTTTTTCAGACTTAAAAGATTAATTATTCATATTCACATTTTGTATTTCACATTTGAAATAGTATAAGTGCGTTCTTAAAATAATGCTAATTTTAATTCTACGATATCTTTGAAAATATTATAAAACAAGAACGATAATAACTTCTGTATTGACTTTTTATCTTGTATATATAAAAGAGTAATGCTGGAAAATTTTAACTTATTTATTATAAAATATTTCTTCGATTTATTTTAATTAATTTATTTATTTATTAACCAAAATAATTTTTTGCGATAATTATAATAAGAAAGTCTTATTATAATATAATTATAATAAAAGAGAATCTCTTATCACAAAAAAACACAAAAAGAGAAAGAGAAAGAGAGAGAAAAAAAATATTTATAAAATTTTTTTAAAAGATAGCTTTGTAAATTATTATAAATTGTTAGATTACACGTAGAATTAAATTAGAATTAATTTAATTAATAATATTTGATTGCGAAGGATGAAATAGCAAAAATAGCCATTTTGACGTTGTACTTTTATTATCTTGGAAATTGATGCTTATCTTGTCATTTGAATAGCGAGTAAAGAATTCAGAGTAATTCGATCACAGATTATGCACGAGTTTTTCTACAGCGACGTAAACTGGTTTTAAATAAAAAGTTGGCCTTGAACGCTCTTGTGATCTCTTTCGTATCTTGTTTATGAAAAACTGAAAGCTAAATGATTCACAATTACTTCCTGAAATTGTATCAATATTTTTTTAATTAATTAAATTTTTATAGATTTACATGCATAAAAGAAAGAGTCAGAAAAATAAATTATAGATGTTTGTCTATCCATTTTATATATCTTTATCTAAACATGATTCGGTAATTTATTTTCAAGTTAAAGATATAACTTTAAATGTTTTAAACAATTTGAAAAGTTGCAAAAAACAATGTTAAATTGTATAAAGTATTTATATACATTAAATAATTATGTTTTTTATAAACAACTATTATCTGAGCATTCACTATTAATGATTATTTTCTCGATAAATTTGGAGATTTAGCTTTTCTTTAGTTAAAATATTATAATGTTTTGAACAAAAAGAAAAATGTTATTACGTAAATCACGTACACATTTTTTCTCGAGACATGATTGTATTATTTCGTTGATAGATAAATATAGAATCATTTTTCTTCATCTCATCCACAGACTTTCGAAAATTACAGTCGATGATAATTTCTCGATGTTCTTTCTTTTCTTTAACTTTTCAATATTTTTGTATGTTCAACGTGAACTTGAAAGTTAAAGTAAAAGATGAATCATAGATTTTGTGCAAAACCAAATGCGATTTATGATAGTTTAGTTTTGACATACGGAATTACACTGTTGTTTTATGCACGCACAAACGCAACGACGTTTCATTCACACTGCGTATTCTCGACTGATCGTAAAATACAATTCTATCTCGCTCGCCTGACTCTCGTATGTTGTCTTCCTTCATTACCTTGATCTTTCTTTCTCGTCTGAACATATTTCATTGAATGTTCTAGGATATCTACTGCAATTTAAATTAGACATTTGCCTTAGCAAATTTATTCTAGTGTATTATTGTACATGCTGCGCATTTGAGGCAATTTATAGATTGGCGATACTATACTCTGTCCAGAGAGAGAATGACCTCAGTCTGCGCATAGGCAGGCAAAGTGGGGAGAACATAGCGAAGTACTCAATACCGTATACGTAGATACGGCTTCTGTGGATGGAGACCTGCGCGAAACAGACGAATTTTCGTCCGACCCGAGGTCATTCTTTCATTGGACAGAGTATATATACAATAAATTGCTGTCTCGCGATACAATGAGATTATACAGAAAGAGAAGTAAAAAGAAGTTTTTTGTTTATAAATTCTTATCTTTTGTTTATAAAGTCTGATTAATTATAATAAATCGTATATTTCTAGCATTAAACACTGTGTTAGCTCTCTTTATTCTCTCGGCAATAATTGAAGATATATAAATCCCTCACTTGGTCGCAAAGTTATATTATTGTGTAGGGTCATTTCCTCATGTGTTTTCATACTCTTCACTCTCCACTTTCTGAATATTGCTGCTAATATGATTTTTTCTTCGGTTTCAGCGAATTTTTGTCCCATGCAGTTTCTTGGTCCACCGATAAACGGGATGTAAGCGTACGGATGTATGTGCTTTAAATTCTCAGGTAGAAATCGATCCGGATCAAACTTTAATGGATCCGACCAGACTGCTGGGTTTCGATGGACCAACAGGATTGGCGCTGCGACCGAAGTACCTTTCGGAATTACATAATTGTCTGAAATAAGAAAATATGTGTAGAGTTTAGAGGAAAATGACTCAATTGTCTCATTCATTCCAAATCCGTAAAATGTGTAGCTCCCAATCCTTCATTATCGAACTCATTGAATCAAAATCGTTGAAAAATTACTTAAGTTTGAACACGAATCATATTTATAACTCTGCAGATGACAGAATCAGAGAGCATTATATAGCCGAAGAAAGAAATTTCAAATATTTCTTGAAAAGAGTTAACAATCAAAATTCATTTTTCTCTTATTTTTAAACTTAAGAACTTCTTATTCTCTCTGATTAATAGCGTAGTCAAAATACACTTTTTGAAGATAAACTGCTATATGCGATCATATTTTGTTCTTACATTGCGTCGATTTCTTTTATTGTAAAAGCTTTAAAAGTATAAATGGTTTGTAATTCGAAAATAGGACACTTTCAAACATTTATTTATTTTTCTTTTATAAATCGTTTTAACGCAAAAGAAGCATAGATAGATTAAAAATATTTTGTTGTAAAACCAATTACTAATATATATTATACTATACATATACATATTTTCTAAGTTTCAATCTTCTAAGAAAAAATGTTAACTCAAATTGCATTTACATTTTGTATTGAATTGTCTGCTCATTTTCAAAGATTTGTATTGATTAAAATACAAAAAAAAAATCTTACCCATCTTTACGTCTTCTGATATTTTTCTTAAAACTGTGGGTATGCTTGGATATAACCTGCGTGATTCTTTTATAACCCTTTCAAGATATTTTAATTGTGAAAGCTCCTTTACGCTGGCTGGTCTCTGCGAATCTTTGAAAATCTCCTTTAGTTCTTCATGAATCTTCTCTTGACATTTGAGATTATTGCCTATACAAAAGAGCGCCCAACTGACGGACATCGCTGTTGTGTCATGACCCTGTTATTATTAATTATTATATAAAATCAAGAATTATATTATCGAGAGATAAAAAAAAGAAAAATAAAATATTAATGAAAAAAAATTTTTTATTACTGCAAATATGGTTGAAGTCACGTGTCCTCTCAAGTTTTCATTAGTTAATGAATCGCCATCTTTCTCATTCATATCCAGTAAAAGATCTAGGAAGTCTTTTCTTTTCTGCTTGTCTAGTTTGATTATAAATATATTTAATTAGAAGAAAAATTATTCGATATATTTTCCTATTAATTATATAGCAATATATCTTCGTACCTAGTGTATTGGAATCATCCTGCTTATTTTGTGATTTATTGTTCTGCATACGCGCGAGTTTTTTCCTTCGTATTATCTAGAAATTGCAATATTCTTATTATCAATATATTCTTATTATCGATATATATCTATCAAAGATCATGCTAGATTAATGGAGATGACATTTATAATGGTTTCTTTATGCCAACTTAGCCGAAACACTTCATAATCGAAATTCTTACCTCATCCGTAATGCTATGCATACTGTTAATTGTTGCTTTATATTCCCGTCCCTGAGGTAATGAATAATATATCCAATCATACATCCACAGCCATAATCGTTCTACACGCAATGCATGTAGTTTCATATATCTGAAATATATTTTATTATTAACTTTTTTACATCTTAGTTAAAAAAATATTTGGTAAGAATAATGAAACTGTAAAGTTTTTATTATTATTTCATTTATTCGTCATTTTTTCAGCCAAACTGTTTACTTTTGTCTCATTTTAATTAGACGTTGCATGACTAAAAATTAATATTTAATTAATTAAATAACGCAAGATATTTTTTGTGAGAAAATATTTTATATTAGAATGTATAATTATATATAGAAATTGTATATAAACTGACCTTTTTAAAGCCAATCGATATGACGTAAGTTGTTCATCACTTACATTTACACCCAGCATAGTTTCTAGGCAATCATTAATGTAGTTAATCTTTTACGATAAAACTATATCAATCTATTATATTGTGATTAATATATAGGGTGAGTCAGAAATATGTTTTAAATCTTCGTGAGCATGTTCTTGGAGAAAAGCATGTATCAAATAATTATTTTCTACTATTAAAATTTTTCATTTGTGGGTTATTTCAGACTTACGATATATCCTCTTTCTCTTTTTTTTGTGTCGTTTTCTTACCACATATAATGTTGAAAGCGGTCTTTTGTATAAATGGAATAATATCAATAATTTTCGTCGAATCTTCTGCTAACTTTTCTTCAATGCATTTTATTATAATTTCCGTTTTTTTGGACATTATGACAGCGTATTGTTCCAGTATATTAAAATGAAATAGAGGCAAAAATAATTTTCTATCTCTATACCACTGTTTAACTGAAATATGCAATGCATTTATGTATTACAAAAATATCGCTCTCTTTAATTTTGTACGCTCTTTTACTTTATACCACCAGCTATGACTAGTCAACATGATAGTATCTTTGTAAAATGTATCTTCAAAGTGCTATTCTAATATTTACCTGGAGCAGTAACAAGCCCATTACCTAGCCATGGTTTGAAGTAGTCATATAGTTCCGCTTTCTCAACATGTGTGTAACTTTTGAGAATGCTCTGTAAATTTGTAAAAACAAGATAATAACTCAAACGGCAACGCGGGCATAACAATACGTGGTATTTCACAAGTTTGAGAAATTAAAAGAACAATATTCTGTATATTTTATAGAGAAGATGGTATTTAATAATTCTAACATTTATATTATCGATCATAAAAAATTATTCATTCAAGAAAAATAGGTGAAGTATACCCAGGTATTTAGTAATACCTGGTGATTTGAAAATTTTGAGAAATATATATTTTATTTTATTTTATGTTTGTATTGGAGAGAGAGAGAGAGAAAAGTACGTTCGCAACTGAAACGTGGACTAAGATTGTTGTTCCATAAAAGTCTTACAATCAGTCTATATTTTATTTGAACATATCTAATATATAATTTATAATTACTCTAT